GCGCCCCGCCGCCGGGCCCCGGGTCACCCTCACCGCCGACTTCAGACAGGTACGGGCTGCGCTGGGGCTCGGGATGCCGCCCCGCCGTCGGGGAGGGACATCCCCGAGGTGCTGGAAGGGGGTTGCGGGGATGTCCGACCCCTCTGGCCGCGCTGCGGGGCTGGGCTGGTCCCTCCCGTGGGGAGGGATCCCCGCGGGGATCTGGTTTTTGCGGGTCCGGGCACGCACGGTGATTCCCAACTGGGCTGGAGTGGGATGAGAAGCCGGCCAAGTGGGAATTCTGGCCCTTGGCACCTCGCGGGACCGCGGGTGGGCTTGGCCAAGGGGGCCGGTGCGTGGTTTGGTTGCGGGAGGAGCTTTGGGGATAGCGGGACCCGAGGTGCTGCCGGACCCCGGGACAGACTTGGAGCCTGGGAAAACTCTGTCCGAGGGTTCGGGAGCCACAACTGTTTCTGAGGAGCGGAGGGTCCCTGTGCACGTGTGAGGGGAAGCCCTGCCGCTCTGCAGCCCCCTTGTCTTTGTTTGCAGTGTCCGCGGGGCAGTTCCCACGCACGTGGGAAGGCTGCTGTCCCCAGGGCTGTGACACCTGGAGCGAGCACCGCCTCTGCGGTGAAAAGAGGTGGTGAGGATCCTAGTGGGATGGGTGGAAAGCCTTCCCCACCCCCAGCTGGCCCTAGCAGCTCTGGTGCTCTTAGCTGAGTCGCTGGGAGTTTTGCACGGGAGGCTCAGCAGCAGCTGGGCACGGAGCAGGACTAGGGCAGGGGGCTGTGTGTGGTGGGATCTCAGGTTCCTGACTCCTGGATGGGGGTGTTCATGCTCTGCTGTACCTCCAGGACATCTCTCCACAGGGTTCACGTGGGGTACGGTTGGTTCCCCAGGTGGGCTCCTGCTGGTTTGGGGAGCACAGGGCTGTGTTTGTGGTGTGGGCAGTGTCTGACTGACAGCTGCCCGTGGGGCTGACAGCAGCCCTTCCAGAAGAGCAGCCTGTCCCCCTGCCCAGTGCTGAGAGGTGGCCTCTCAGCAGGGAGGTGATGCTTGCTGAGCTGCAGCCCATGGTCCCACCGTTCTCAGCAGGAGACGGCGGCTGCTGGGCCAGCGTGGCATCCTTTGGAGCGTGCCAAGCCTGGCTGGATGCAGGGAACCTTCTGTTGCACAGGAAGGAGCTGTTTGCTGCCATGTGGGTGGGCATGGTTGGCAGGGTGGCAGAGCAGTGTTGTCTTGTTCCAAGCCCTGTTTGCTCAGGTGGACTTTGGTTCACCGCCCCAGGAAGCTCAGACCCGTGAGGTAGGAAGGTGTTGTGTCCCAACCTGTTGTGAACCTTGGAACCTTTTACTAGGGATTGTTCTGGTGCCTTCTTCCCTTGTGGCTACACTCTTTGGTCTCAGTCTTCTTGCAAGCCTCTGAGATGGCCTCCTGTCCCTCTGGAGGGTGTAGTGGCAAGCCCACCTCTCTGGGATGCCAGTAGGAGCTGGGATGATTCCTC